TGCGGAAACGCGATGGATGCGCGATCTCGTCGCTTCTATGAGAAAGTGGAACCTTTGGTTGACGTACTACATCTACCAGAAGGTACGGCTACCTAAGGCGAAGCGTAGCCGCCTACGGTGCGAATTCTGACGAAATTTTCTTCGGACGCCTGTTTTTGGCAGCTACCAGATAATTTGAGTTATAGTCAACTTTCAAAACATTTGAGAAATTAATTTTTTCAGGATAGTCCAAAGATCGAAAAGATGCGTAGAAAAATTTGCAAGATCAAAAATTGAGAATCTGGCATATTCCCAAACTTTGCTAAAAAGTCTGACTTTCTTTGCTCACCCTGTATAAGTGGATAAATAAAAATAATATACCGATAGAACCCTGTGCGCGTTCTCAAACAGTTGGTCTAGAACAGAGTTCCCCAAACTTTTTTGTGTCGTAGACCCCTTGCCATGTTTTTACGTGTTGGGTAGACCCCCTACTTACCTGATATTGATTTCCTGTAAATTTCTTACTGTAGTGAAGTTTAGTGTTAAAAACTTAAAGTAAAAACACATGTTAATTTATACATCTATTAATTGAATTTAAATTAAAACTACTCAAAATAAAATTTTGTATCTGTTATCTAAAATATACGTAACATTAAATAAACCAATAAGTGCTCGCATTGGGAATAAGTGTCCGCATTGAAAAAAGAAATTAGAGGGATAAAAAAAAGTGAAAAATAATAAAAAAAAAGTTTTTACTTAAAATAGTACAATAAGCGAATTCGTTTATTAATTATAACATAAACGTATGTTCTACAATAATTTCACTGTTAGTTTGATTAAATTCCGCTTCTTATACGTTTAAGTTATCTAAAAATAGGCAAACAATTAACGAATTTTAGTGTGTATCTATCCTTGAATTTTCAGAATAATTTAAAAAAAAATATTCTTTATAAAGGAGTTTTTTAAAAAAATCAATGCGGGCACTTATTCCCAATGTGGGCATTTATTGGTCAAACACCAATAAACATAAACTATAAATAAAATAATATAAGCAATAAGTCAATATTTTTAGTGAGAAGGATGAACCTGATGCTTTAATAATAAATTATCAACATTTGGCGTCAATTTTGTAAGGGTTAATCTTGAATCTCATCGGCTAATGATGTCCAGTCTGTTTCTTTTTTTCGTTAGTAGATTGGTAACAGCCCCTTTCCACTAGGTATGACGATGGAAAGGAAATTAAAAATTTCCTCGCTATATTCCATAATACGGGATAAGTAACGGGTATGTTGTTTTCCAGCCAGAATTGCTGATATCCGTTTTTAAACTGAACCTTAAGTTCTTCGTTTGGATTTAGTTCAGTCGGTTCCTCTTGTATTATGACATTCGTTTCTTTTGTGTCACCATATGGATTAATTATCCACGGTGGTATTACCATAGTCAAAATATCCTCAAACCTAGATTCAAAATCTGAATAGAGGGCATTTAAATGTTAAACGTAAGTTGAAACGTCGTCTTCCTGGCAGCTTATCTGAGACAAATTGGGTAACTGAGAAAATTCGCCCCGTCCAATATTTTGCTTCATTAGTTTAACTCTGGCAAGAAACGCTGACTTTGTTTTAATCAAATTTAAACTGTCGCCTTGTCATTGCAAATTAACCATATTAAATTTTGTAAACAAATCTGTTAAATAGGCGATGGCTGTTTTCCTCTTCATTAAATTTTCTTTTAAAATTTTATCTTTAGGATCCAGAAATTCTAGAATAGTCTCAAAAAGTGCAAACAATCTTGTCAAACATAAGCCTTTCGACAGCCAGCGTACTTCAGTGTGAAGGAGTAATTGATGAAAGTGTTCGTCATTTTCTTCACACAACTGCGCAAATAACCGCGTATTCAACGCGTTGCTTCGGATTCGGTTTACTGCATCAATGACTAAATGAAGTGATTCATGCAAACTAACACTCAAATTTTTAGCAACTAAATGTTGTCGATAGATGACGCAATGTATTGCTAACACCCCTTACACATTTTGTTTTAAATAGCTTATAAATCCACGATAACGTCCAACCATGGCAGGCGCCCCATCTGTAGCTACTGATATTATATTTGATAAAGGAATTGCTTTTTCAATGAAGTAATCCTTCAAAACATGAAATATTGATTCACCTTTAGTGCCGGTTATCAAAGTTTTTGCGAGGGGCAGTTCTTCATAGATTTCTTGATTCATAATAAACCGAACATATGCCAATAATAATGCTGCATTATCAGGTAAAGTTGACTCGTCCAGTTGTATAGAGAAATGTGTCGTTTGCAAATAATTACATAAGAAGCTTTCAATATCAGAACTCATTTCATCAATACGACTTTTAACAGTATTGTTGCCTAAGGGAATTCTTTTAATGATATCAGATGCAGGTTTGTGTAAAACAGTTTTTAAAACCTCTTCAACGGCTGGCAAAATTAACTTCTCTCCGATAGTATGCGGTTTTCCGGATTTTGCTATAAGCAGCGAGATATTGTAAGACGCCCGCAAACCATCATCATTTCTTTGTGACGTCGAAGCGAACATTCTGTCCAGTGTAGGTCTCTTCTGAAATTTATCTTTGAGTGTTTGAAAGTATTTCAAATCTTTCTCTGTTTTATCAGGGTGGCATCTTCTCAGATGATCTTGCAGTTTAGATGCTTTCATAGCGTCATTGCCCAAAACTTTGTTGCGTAAAAGGCACATAGGCGATTGTTTGTCCGGCAATGATGGAATGAAGCCAAATTTCAAATAATCAACACTGTACTGTCTACATTTCCTTTTAGATTCGGACACGGCATCAGTCATCTGTGGGCAAAATTAAATTATTTAAATAAGAAAGAAAATCCAGCAGCTGTATATTAAAAATATTTTTTGATTTTTCGGAAAACATTCCATAATTCGAACATCTTGCAACAATTAGCTCGAATTACGGAGATTGCACTGTAATTATATTACCGATTGCTAAAACTTTCAAAAAGAAACTATTGGGGAGTACTCGTGTAATTTTGCATGATTGAATATTTAACTACTAATAACAAAAGTCATGATTGGCGTAATTTATCTATCTACGAGTACAAAACTAAAATTTAATAAAAAATAATGTACTTACTTTTCTCCAGCACTCTCAAACAAAATAACACTGACTCACTATAATTTGTGTGATATACTATCTGTTTTTATTTTTTAAAATATTTTCTTAGCACTTTCCTTTTCAAGATTCAGGAAACGAATAAACGTATTTGTCCCACATTCGTATTTATAGAGTGACGAATTGAACAAGTCGGTGCAAGGTAGGGAAGCTCTGAGACTGCGACTCTCAGGTTTTTACAAGTTCAAAATGTATTGCGACCACAAAGCGAATACCAACATCCTACAACTTGCACAATTTTAGAAACATATATAATGAATTTTTTACTTCACAGGTACTTTTATAAATAATGTATATGTTTTGATATTATAAGATAGTACGATGCAAGTAAATAGGTACTATCAGTGTATGTGTTGAGATCCACTATCGTGGACCCCCATATTCATTTCATGGACCCCCAAATTTTTTTTCGCTGACGTAGATCTCTTGCAGGTTGTCATAGACCCCTAGGGGTCGATATAGACCACCTTGGGAATCAATGGTCTAGAACCTACCAAATACCGCAACTTGATGTCTCTTTCCTTTCGAAAATATCGAGATTGGAATTTGGGTAAAATTTTACATAACTAACTGTCCACAAGTTTAACTTCAGCGTTAAAACATATTTGATTTTTTGGTACGAGCTGCGTTTTACTTCCTGTGCCAAAACTGGGGAGGAAGCATTGTCACAACTGTGACGTGGAGTGCAAGTTTGCCCTGGGTTAAGCAGACTCGCTGGTGTGGAGACTCACATGATAACACAAGCAAATAAAAAAATCAAAGTCAAAAGGCCGCGCAATAAAAGTACAATAGAATGAAACAGGTATTTACTTTTTGGCCCAAGAAGGTCCAGTCCCACGAAGAGAGATTCATCCCACGGCAGAAACTAGTCCATCGAGTTTTTATAATTTTACGAACCGATAGAACCTTCATTGGTGGCGAATAATATTCCTTTGTAGATTTGCCGGCGGTGTGCACAGTTCTCAGCGGATGCGGTTTAGGGTATCTATCGACCTATATGGCGCCTATGCGACAGGATGATCACACGTGGCAATCTCCCCCCTCCGGATGAAGCTGGCCTTCCAGCGTCACAAAATTTTACAACAAATGGCAGTTGATGTAAAGTAAAAATTTAATTTCCCTGCTATCCCATACATTCGCATAAAATTTCTAAATTGAAATATTATGTTTTTTTGACAGTATGACGTGTATAAACTATGTCACTCATTTGCATCGGTCTGTCAGTCTGTCTGTCGATCTGTCCGCCAATTTTATAACCGCCTATAACTTGAGAAGGATGGAAACAGAAATATGATAGATTTTTTTATATAGTTTGACATGTAGAGGCCAAAGATTAATCGTATCTAAGTGAATCTAACTAATTACGCCTTTTGAAACGATTTGTATAGAGTAAATCTACACGAGGCCACATTTTCATTACAAAAACCAAGAAAATGAAAAAAATGAAATCTATTATACACTAGCTGACCCGACAGATGTTGTTCTTTCTTAGCTATGAACTGGGATGAATAATGAATGATAAAAGGGTAAATATATGGAATACACTAGTAGGTAATTCTATAGAGTGTTACTTTGAGGTAAGTAGGTACACCAAATATTCAAACTTATATAATTAGTAAATACTGTAAAGCTAGTGAAGAGTTTAATCGGAGAAATTGCTTAGATAGGAGGCAACAGAGGTGGGATTTGAATATTCCTGGGATACAGTTTGCAACTCCGTAACATGGTAGGCCATAGGCTCCTGTGGTGTGCTGCATAAAACTTCTGAAGAGTTTTGGTACTGATTTTGCGAAGGATTTGATTCACCTCCGTAAACGAAATTGTAGACCAGCTCCTGCATTTTCATTCTCAATAGCATTTTTTGCGCGGTGGAAGTGTTCTAACATGAGGAAGTAAGCTATCAAAAAAGTTTGAATCTTCATCGACGGTTCTTACTTGCTGATTTTGTAACATTTTCAATTTAGTTTCCTCAATTCTAACAAGGGCCGTGCCGATATCTTTATCGTTTTGTTGTTTTCTCACTTTGCTAGGCTTAGTGAGAGTCGCGCCGGGGGTCGTGGCCGATATATTTTCGTTTTCTAAAGGTAACTGGCTTTCATTTACAGATTTTTCGTAATCATCAACTTCAGTATCAGTATCTTCATTCAAAATGGTATCGGCCATTTCATTAGGTAAATTACCACCACTGGATCGTACAGTAAACTGATCTCTCAAAAAACACAGGCTGTCGAAATATTGCCAAGATGAAACAGTTGATTGAGCAGCACCGTCTCCAGACCGTTTCGCCGGTATTTTTTCATCTCTTTACGAAAATTGTCCCGAAGCGTTTTCCATTTGCCTCTCACAATATTTCCTAAAATAAAATATTTAAGCATTAATGTACAGTGCTTCTTTATTCTCTATCAATGGAATTAACACAGCCAAATTTTGTTTACACTTTTGTTCTGGAACGAAGTGGAAGTCAAAATTCTGTACAATCGTAGTATGACACTTTAGCTACTTAATGCATAAAATTCTTGTGTCTGTACCGCCATGTGGCTAGCAAAACAAGTTGGCAGCACTGTGATTTCCCCATCAACTTACTTTGAAAGTAGGCACAGAATTATGTGGAATAAATTTTGTTGTGCCAAATGATGTCATTTGAAAGCAATTATTGTATTGCTGGATATGAGTCAAACAATACAGGGTGTCCGCAAAGTTGGGGTTTTCCTTTTCAGAAACAACTACCCTTGAAATAACAAAGGCAATGTGTAGTGAAACGAGAGCGACCAAGTAAAAAAAAATAAAGGAAAAAGTACTCACTCTCCAGTTGACGAGAATGGCTAAGTACGTCTCTGCCCGAAATCATACCGCTCCAACAGAAAATGAAATCAGCTGATGCGCTACCGAGCAGACGCAGAAACCACATTGATTGTCTTACACTTAATGGCACATCTTCTAACAAGGAAGGCAACGTTCACACTAAATTCATGCTGAAAATTTCTTTCTCGAACTGCATGCGGATTTTCATGCGACCAAATATGTTGATTATGAAAATTTACCACTCCACGTCTAGTCCATAAAACGTTACTTAAAAACTCCCTATTATTATCAGTTCTATCAAGAATACACTGACAAAATGTGATTCTTCGTTCTCCGTCCCCTGGCTGTAGTCCTTGCACAGGTTGCAAATGGTAAGGACGTCTATGGTCATTTCTAAGAACACGGTGAACATGGCTTGCTGAAATTCCTAAGGCACCAGAAACTCTCCTAACACTTGTGGTCGGATCTCTATCAAACTCACGCAGAATCATACGGGTAAGTCTGCGCTGACGAACATTTATGTTTTGATCCCTTTGGAGATTTCCAAAACCATTTTCAATTATTTGGCGATGCACTCTTACAAATACTGAGCGAGTTGGATGTTGTCTGTTTGGAAATCTTCGTGCGTATTCTCTAGCTGCTTCTGCTGCGTTTCCATTTACAAAGCCATACACAAAATGAATATCCGCTAACTCTTGATTGGAGAATAAAAATGGCATTTTTATAAAACTTACAAAAAAAAAAAGGTAAAAGAAACTAAATTTCGTGCATTCATAATTGCAAAAAAACGTTTCAGGTTTCAACAGACAACAAAACTAACTGTCAACTAATTGACGTTTAACCTTATTCTGCTTTCAATTTAAAAAATATTTGCAGGCACAGCCTACTTCTAAAAATTATCGAGATTCTGACTTTTTAACGTTATTTTATCATAAATAATTAAAAATGCATCGAACCTTAAAAATCGAAATATCTCAAAAACGGCTAACTATAACGAAAATTCACAAGAGAGCTTTTTTATGTTGAAAAGTGCGAAGAATCAGTTGTTTTATTCAAAAAGCAAAAAATTGCACTAAGAAAAAAATTTCGTTCATTTTAATACACTACAGGTACAGTAGAGAGCGCCCTCTAGCGGCTACAGTAAAACTATAACCATGGTTCGCTTTGTCGTACCAAAAAACCCTCGTACACCAATTACTGTTATACATCAAATATTGTTCGAAATATTTGAAAAAAACTATTTTAGAAAGTAAACTTAATCACCCTGTATTTCGGAAGCCTCGCATTTTTCGACCCACGTTTATATAGACTTTATGCATTAATTTTAAAAGTTCTATCGAATCTCAAAGTTATGCAACAATAAACTGAAACACCCTGTAGATATAGATATGCATATCAAACCTGTGATTCGATGTCTTGAATGTAGATTGCGTGATTTTATCTTATAGAGCGAGAGGAAGGGTGCCCTATGGTGAACTCCCCCTTTTTTGGGTTAAGTTGAAAAACGCTTTTTAGCGACACTTCGCCTTTTTATACTTTGTATAATTATTATTATTATTATCTCGTTTATTCTAGCATTTATTCTATTGCATATCGTATTTGTAACCCTGCATGCCCCAAAAACTGTTCCAACATTGATACCCTCGTAACTGGAAACAGTAGCGATATACGTTTGCGAAGCGCCCGGTCACCTCACCTGCATGACCCGGTGCTGGTTGAGCTGATAAAAGGTGAAACGTGATGAGAACATTAACTGTGTCGCTACCACGGGTACTGATAACGAATGGTCACACGGCATGCATGCTAACTATGGTAAACGTGCGCTACCAGAAGGGCTCCGATAAGATATATGACCAGCATATCGTCTTTCAGCTGCTGATATGTGTTGTACAGGGTGGCTCCAAGTGAGTGAAGGCTAGGTAACTTGCGGCACTGAATTGTTATTGAATAATGATGATAGTCGTCTCTATTAGCTGGATTACCAAATCACAGCGGAATTAATGACAAAGTGTAGCAATTGAGGGGTCCAATTCATAAACCAGTCAAGTCACATGAGGAAAAATGTTGAGAAACCATAAAAAATATTCTTGATGTAAATTTTTTAGTTACTGAAGATTCTAGTATTTGCTGTCAAATCGAAATAATTATTCTGCTGCACTATTTTTTAAATACAGGTTGTTTCAGAACTAAGGGTTCAAACTTCTAGGGCTTATTAAGTGTAACGGTAGAAAACATTTGAGTACAGGGACTCATATCCGGAAATGTGTCACTACGGCACTACGCATTATAATTTAGAAAGACGATGAATTGCCTATATAGGATTTAATGCATTTAATTTTTGCCTTTTGTACATGATATCATCATAACAATTGTTCAAAATGTCTTCGCCCAACCTGAATACACCGATTTAAACGTCGCACACGATTTCGGCGGACTTGACTAACAATTTGATACTCGTATTGAATGGTTTCAAATGCTGCTGCAATTCGTCCAATTAAGTCTTGCTCTGTTTATACTGGAGTTCCGTAAACCAAAGACTTTACATGTCCCCACAGGAAAAAATCTAGCGACGTTAAATCCGGTGACCTAGGAGGCCAAGAAACTGCTCCACCTCTGGCAATCCAACGATGCCCAAACCGCTTAGCCAAATATTCACGTAATTGTACAGCAACGTGAGCCGGCGCTCCATCAACGTTCAACGGAACATTTTCAAGAAGTTCTGGAAGAACTTCCTCCAAGCAACGCCGGTAAATAGGTCCTGTTAACTGTTCCGGTAGAAGGTATGGCCCAATCAAATAACACTGGACAACAAATTTTAGTTTTTTAATTGTATCTTGTGGGAAAAGTGCACTTCTTTGTTAATTTTGGGGCGCTGAATCCAAAAATGACAATGAAATAAAAAAATTAGTTGCTGTTTAGAAAAAAACTTTTTATTTTTAAGGATATATTAAAAAAAGTAACAAGATTCATATACTTATAAGAATCACTATATGCGCTGTCTTTTTGCTGTTCTTTTATGGATCGTTTCTGGAGCATCTCTACCAAGAGTCCAACATAGACTGCAACCATGGAAGGATTCCACTTTCCCTGGTACCTTTTTTCCGTTGTTGAAATATCCTGATGAAAACGTTTGCCGTGCTCATCACTCACGGCTCTGCAATTGTCAGGAAAAAAGTCCAGGTGTGAGTGTAGGAAATGTATCTTAAGAGACATATTACAGCCCATCTTTTGATACGATGACAGCATATTTTTGACAAGGGTTTTATAGTTGTCAGCTTTTCTATTACCCAAGAAATTAGTGACCACCAGACGGAAATCATTCCAAGCAGTTTTTTCAATACCTGTTAAAGTGTTTTCAAACTGTGTATCTTTCAAAATATTTCGAATCTGTGGCCCAACAAAAATACCTTCTATAACCTTTACCTCACTTAGTCTTGGAAATTTCTGACGCAGGTATTGAAAAGCTGACCCATCTCTATCTAATGCCTTGACAAAGTTTTTCATTAGGCCCAACTTGATATGCAGTGGTGGTAATAAAATTTTTTTCGAATCTACTAATGGCATATGCTGTACATTTTTTTGACCTGGCTCTAGGAATTGACGAACAGGCCAGTTTTGTCTGGTGTAATGAAGTGCCTTTGCCCGACTGTCCCATTCACACAAAAAACAGCAAAACTTTGTGTAGCCTAGCTGCAGCCCAAGTAAAAGTACAACAACTTTCAAATCGCCACAAATATGCCATTGGTGCTCATCGTATTTTATGCATGTCAATAGGTACTTCATATTGTCATATGATTCTTTCATGTGAACTGCATACCCTACAGGAAGAGATTGTAAAATATTTCCAGTATGCAATAACACTGCCTTTAAACTCAATGTTGAACTGTCTATAAACAATCTCCATTCTTCTGGGTTATAGTTTATATTTAAAGCCGCCAGTAAGCCGTTAATGTTACTGCAGAAAACCAAGTTATTCTCCATATTGAAAAATGGTTCTAAGTCTTTGTGGCGTTTACGAAAAACACATACCGAAACATCGTCTTCTAACAAGTTCCACTGCTGCAGTCTTGATCCAAGTAACTCTGCCTTACATTTTGGAAGTTTTAAATCTCTTACAAGATCATTTAATTCTGACTGTGTTATTTTGTGCGGTTGGTGGCATGACGTGCTCGGTATAAAATCAGGATCTCTTGACGTTGATGGCATATCTTCTTCCTGACGAATCACTCGATCGCCATGATCTGATTCGTAAGTGTAGGATTCTGGGGGTTTTGGAATAGGATTTTCGTCACTGTGAGGCACAGGTCTCATGGCAGATGGTACGTTTGGGTAGTTAATAACAGATTTTTTTTTCTTGGACA